TCAGTGTAGTGGGGAGGAGCCAGTGAAGCGGGAGGAGTCAGTGCAGAGGGAGGAGTCAGTGTAGAGGGAGGAGCCAGTGTAGAGGGAGGAGTCAGTGTAGAGGGAGGAGCCAGTATAGCGGGATGAGCCAGTGTAGAGGGAGGAGTCAGTGTAGCGGGAGGAGCCAGTGTCGAGGGAGTAGTCAGTGTAGAGGGAGGAGCCAGTGTAGAGGGAGGAGTCAGTATAGAGGGAGGAGCCAGTGTAGAGGGAGGAGTAAGTGTAGAGGGAGGAGCCAGTGTAGAGGGAGGAGTCAGTGTAGATGGAGGAGCCAGTGTAAAGGGAGGAGTCAGTGTAGAGGAAGGAGCCAGTGTAGAAGGAGGAGCCAGTGTAGAAGGAGGAGCCAGTGTCGAGGGAGGAGTCAGTGTAGTGGGGAGGAGCCAGTGAAGCGGGAGGAGTCAGTGCAGAGGGAGGAGTCAGTGTAGAGGGAGGAGTCAGTGTAGAGGGAGGAGTCAGTGTAGAGGGAGGAGCCAGTATAGCAGGATGAGCCAGTGTAGAGGGAGGAGTCAGTGTAAAGGGAGGAGCCAGTGTAGAGGGAAGAGCCAGTGTAGAGGGAGGAGCCAGTATAGCGGGAGGAGCCAGTGTAGAGGGAGGAGCCTGTGTAGGGGGAGGAGTCAGTGTCGAGGGAGGAGTCAGTGTAGATGTGTGGCAGCAGGACGTGCCGTTGGTCTTCCAGTCTGAATTTGCGCTTAAGCTTCATACTAAAAAATAAGTTTTGTCTGTGCGTGGGAAGACCAGGGACACACTCAACCGGTTTTAAAATCAAAAAGGTCAAGGGGCTAAATAGAAACTTCGAATGTATCAAAAATGTTGAATATTGAATACAAAACTTTTATTACCGCATTCTTTCTCTGGCCTCTCTCTGACAGGTCGTGGACTCAGCTTCCATCATTATAAAATCAGCATCAATGTTGAATACAAAAGTTACTGATTGGATTTGGCTTGGACCGGTTGGAGCTTGGTCTCGGCTTGCATTCTCCCCCCGATCATAAATCTCTCAACACAATATGTAAAGTGTAACAGAGTAGAGTTGTGTGTCTGACAGCGGAATCTACAGCATGTAATCCGACAAATGCATGTTCTCTGCAAGGCCATAAATCAGATGTATAGAAATGAACAACCGTCAGAAAGAGTCTGTGTCTCTATAATGAGTCCTATAGAAGCAAGTTTTCCTTTGTTTTGACCTCTGCTGACTTCCCCTTTAAGATGAAGTAAAAAAAAAAAAAACTCTAGCTTTAGCATAATAAAGAAGCTAGTATAAAATCTAGCATTAGCCCAATAAAGTAGCAAGTATAAAATCCCTAGCTTTAGCATAATAAAGAAGCTAGTCTAAAATCTCTAGCTTTAGCATAACAAAGAAGCTAGTGTAAAATGTCTAGTTTTAGCATAACAAAGAAGCTAGTATAAAATGTCTAGCTTTAGCATAACAAAGAAGCTAAAATAAAATGTCTAGCTTTAGCATAACAAAGAAGCTAGTATAAAATGTCTAGCTTTAGCATGATAACGAAGCTAGTACAAAATCTCTAACTTAAGCATAATAAAGAAGCTAGTCTAAAATCTCTAGCTTTAGCATAACAAAGAAGCTAGTACAAAATCTCTAGCTTTAGCATAATAAAGAAGCAAGAGAAAAATCTATAAAAAGCAGCAAAACACTGTATAGTCATTAAATAAAAACACTATTACTTACAATTACTACAATATAATCTAAGTTTGTCCCTGGGTCTTGTTTTTCCGCCTCCACTTTTCTTATTCCAAAAGCGTATTTTCTCGGTCGTCTTTCTTTAACATTAGCATTCGCCCTCGACAGCTGCCTGAGAAATTAAAAAGTGGCTTCTCCGACCTTCCATCGCAGCCTGTGAATTGTTTTTGCTCCGACTGTGAAGCGTTGGCATAATGTGGACATGGGAACGTGGCGTTGCCGGGTTAGAATACTGATTATTCTGAGGTCCTGCCCGGTTTTCAGTCACAATCGATACTTGTAGAGGACGGACGAGCAATCAGGACTCGGAAAAAAACAATTTAGTAACTTATCCTTCAGAGAGTTGTGTTGGAGTTTGACCCATTTCTCCCAAAGTTGAGCTAAAGTCTAGCCTGGTTAGGTTAGATTAGGTAATAGATTCAAGCCACTATAATTATAGCACGGATCTTATTCATATTTAAACTGTTCTCGCTCTTGTTTTACTGTGTCAAACAAAACAACAATATGCACTTTGTTCTGGACGTCTGCACCTCATCACTGACTGCAGGATGGAGGCAAACACAAACAGAAAAACAAACAGATGGAGACCATTTTGTGGCCTCGAAATCCTACTTCGTGGCCTTAAAATAGCTTTATCTGGTAGAGGTTCATTGTCATTGCCCTTTGAAATGATGTTAAAGGAGCTATACCCGTTTCTGCAAGGTTTGAATGTTTAGCCCCGCCCCCAACTCGCTCACAGGCTTCTCATTTCCCCTACGCTCTCATCCCACGGAGCCATATCGTTTTTCTTTGCGATCTATATGCTAACATTAGCATTAGCGCAACTTAAGCTGTACAACAATCACTGATGAAATGGTACAAAAGCAACGCACTGCTAACAATATATATAACTGAAAGATTACCGCTAGTTTCACGTCCGAATGTAGTCCGAGCGTAGATAGTCCGAGCGTAGATAGTCCGAGCGTAGATAGTCCGAGCGTAGATAGTCCGAGCGTAGATAGTCCGAACATAGATAGTCCGAGCGTAGATAGTCCGAGCGTAGATAGTCCGAGCGTAGATAGTCCGAGCGTAGATAGTCCGAGCGTAGATAGTCCGAGCGTAGATAGTCCGAGCGTAGATAGTCCGAACATAGATAGTCCGAGCGTAGATAGTCCGAGCGTAGATAGTCCGAGCGTCCGAGCGTAGATAGTCCGAGCGTAGATAGTCCGAGCATAAATAGTCCGAGATTAGATAGTCCGAGCGTAGATAGTCCGAGCGTAGATAGTCCGAGTGCAGATAGTCCGAGCGTAGATAGTCCGAGCGTAGATAGTCCGAGCATATATAGTCCGAGCGTAGATAGTCCGAGCGTAGTTAGTCCGAGCGTAGATAGTCCGAGCGTAGATAGTCCAAGCGTAGATAGTCCGAACATAGATAGTCCGAGCGTAGATAGTCCGAGCGTAGATAGTCCGAGCGTAGATAGTCCGAGCGTAGATAGTCCGAGCGTAGATAGTCCGAGATTAGATAGTCCGAGCGTAGATAGTCCGAGCGTCCGAGCGTAGATAGTCCGAGCGTAGATAGTCCGAGCATAGATAGTCCGATATTAAATAGTCCGAGCGTAGATAGTCCGAGCGTCCGAGCGTAGATAGTCCGAGCGTAGATAGTCCGAGCATAGATAGTCCGAGATTAGATAGTCCGAGCGTAGATAGTCCGAGCGTAGATAGTCCGAGTGCAGATAGTCCAAGCCTAGATAGTCCGAGCGTAGATAGTCCGAGCATATATAGTCCGAGCGTAGATAGTCCGAGCGTAGTTAGTCCGAGCGTAGATAGTCCAAGCATATATAGTCCGAGCGTAGATAGTCCGAGCGTAGATAGTCTGAGCGTAGATATTCCGAGCGTAGATAGTCCTAGCGTAGATAGCCCGAGCGTCCGAGCGTCGATAGTCCGAGCGTAGATAGTCCGAGCATAGATAGCCCGAGCATAGATAGTCCGAGATTAGATAGTCCGAGCGTAGATAGTCCGAGCGCAGATAGTCCGAGCGTAGATAGTCCGAGCGTATATAGTCCGAGCGTAGATAGTTCGAGCGTAGATAGTCCGAGCGTAGATAGTCCGAGCGTCCGAGCGTAGATAGTCCGAGCGTAGATAGTCCGAGCATAGATAGTCCGAGCATAGATAGTCCGAGATTAGATAGTCAGAGCGTAGATAGTCCGAGCGCAGATAGTCCGAGCGTAGATAGTCCGAGCGTAGATAGTCCGAGCATATATAGTCCGAGCGCAGATCGTCCGAGCGTAGATAGTCCGAGCGTAGATAGTCCGAGCGTAGATAGTCCCAGCGTAGATAGTCCGAGCGTAGATAGTCCGAGCGTAGATAGTCCCAGCGTAGATAGTCCGAGGCGGTCCCGCAGGTCTCTCCCATAGACCAGTCTCTCCAGAGGATACGATGTAAGCTAGCTCTGTTCAGGGCTTGGTTTCTTCTTTGATCATGTTTTGGCTTTAGTTCCCTCTTCTCTTCCTCACTGTTGTGTGGTTTGGGCTGTTTTGCTGTGTCTGCAGTTACAGCCAGAGGAGTTATAGCCACTTATGCTAACATGCTACTGTGTTTAGCAGCGCTGTAGAGGCTAGAGGACGCAGCCTCTTTCTGTGATTGGAGGAGAGCGGGCGTCACGCTAAGTCTCTACTCAGCACTTTTTACGCCTGAATTCATACACAGCTAAATCAATGAGCTCAAGTTTTACATTCAATTATGGATTGAAAACAAATTGTATGTAGTAAAAAAAAATCGGTTATAACTTCTTTAAATTAGTTGATATGAGCGACCGTGCCCTAATAAACCACATTTTGAAGCAGATTCTCTCAAGAAAACAGAGAGAATGAAAAAATATAGAAAAAATATTTAATTGTTCCTCATTTACTCCCCACTGCATTTATGTTTGTCTAAAGATGGTTCCAGGCTGATGCAGGTGGGTCTAAGGACAGTGAGGACCAGGGACTTTTGTGGTCAGTGGTCGTCCTGTTCTCTGCTATGGACCAATAGCACCTAACTTTGTGAAGTCCTCCAATATGACTGGTGTGATACATATTTGGCGATCGAAAGGTACATAGAATTTGAAGTGAAAGTGAAGTGAATTGAAAATGCTGGGATAATCTTATATATGAAATCTCCTTTTTTAACTGAAAAATCTGATTGAAGGATGTGACAAACATACTGAACATGTGAAAACTATAGAGAGAAACACACTTTTTAGAGCCAGGAACTACAGTGACATGAGCCTCATTTCCACCAGCCCTACCCTACCCTACATTATACCCTACTCTACTGGTACCCTACCCTATACCCTACTCTACTGGTACCCTACCCTACCCTACCCTACTCTGCCCTACCCTACCTGGTTGTGTTTTCATTGCCCTTTGTATCTGGTACCTCATACTACCACCCCCAACCTATCCACAACAAACCAATATCTGGCAAAATTCCTTGGTAGCCATAGCTTCCAGCAGCACTTCAGTACCAGCTCGGCCTGGATAGAACCAAGACCAAGAGGGACAAAAGAAGTAAACAGGGTCAGTGAAATGCTCCCAATTGGGGTAGAGTATAGGAAAGTAGTAAAGTGTAGTGTAGTGTAGAGTAGTGTAGGGTAGAGAAGGATAGAGTAGAGTAGAATAGGGAAGGGTAGGTTGAGTAGAGCAGGGTAGAGTAGGGTAAAGTAGAGTAAAGTAGAGTAGAGTAAGGGTTGGATAGGGTAGAGTATAGAGTAGAGTAGAATAGAGTAGAGTATAGTAGGGTAGAGTAGAGTAGGGTAGGGTAGGGTAGGGTAGGGTAGGGTAGGGTAGAGTATTGTGTAGAGTGGAGTAGAATAGGGTTGAGTAGTGTAGGGTAGAGTAGAGTAGAGTAGAGTAGGGCAGGGTAGAGTAGAGTAGGGTAGAGTAGAGTAGGGCAGGGTAGAGTAGAGTAGGGTAGAGTAGAGTAGGGTAGGGTAGGGTAGAGTAGGGTAGTGTAGAGTAGAGTAGAGTATAGAAAAGTAGAGTAGAGTAGAGTAGAGTAGAGTTGAGTAGAGTAGGGTTGGGTAGAGTAGAGTAGAGTGGAGTAGGGAAGGATAGAGTAGAGAGTAGGGTAGGGTAGAGTAGAGTAGGGTAGAGTATAGAAAAGTAGAGTAGAGTTGAGTAGTCTAGAGTAGAGAAGAGTAGAGTAGAGTAGGGCAAAGAAGCTCCGATGCAAAGAGACCTATGGATTTGACAACATTAAAATGGCTCATTCGTTGGTCCTGTTCTCCAGCTTTAGGATCCTGTTCCTTCTCTTCTGTGTTCTGCTGGTTCTGATACCGCTGCAGGTTGACCCGATCACTCCGTCAGATGGAATTAGATGAAATAATTCAGTATAATGAGAATCCCTGCTCACTGTAGTCACTCCTCCAAACTTAATCCAATCTTAATCCCAGTCTATTTACATACTGATGATGTTAGGGCTCCCTGATCAAATACTATAGGGCACCGCAAACTCTCCTGCAATGCACCTCACAGCTGTTCCCCCCCTCTCTCTGTCTCTCTCTCTCTCTCTCTACCTCTCTGTCTCTCTCTCTCTCTCTCTCACAGACACACATGCACATACTCACTCTCTGTCTCGGTGTCTCCCCATAACCGTCTCTCTCTCTCTCTCTTGCTGTCTCTCTGTTTATCTATTTATCTTTCTCTCTCCTCTCTCTGCGTGTGTGTACCTCTCTTTCGCTCTCTGTCTCTCCTCTCTCTCTGTGTGTCTCTCTCTCATTCTCTCTGGGTGTGTGTCTCTCTTTCTCTGTGTCTCTGTCTCTGTGTCCCTCTCTTTCTCTCTTTGTGTATCTGTGTGTGTCTCTCTCTCTCTCTCTCTCTCTCTCTCTCTCTCTGTGTCTCTGGGTGTGTCCCTCTCTTTCCCTCTGTCCCTCCCTCTCTCTCCTGATTGGCTGGGCTCTGGAGGGCCCCCACAGCAGACTGCAGCAGGTGCCTAAACCCTGTAAAAGAAAAACACAGAGAAGCAAAGTCAGTGGCTGCAGATTGTGAGTGAGTGAGTGAGTGAGGAGGGAGGGAGGGAGGGAGGGAGTGAGTGAGTGAGTGAGTGAGTGAGTGAGTGAGTGAGTGAGTGAGTGAGTGAGTGAGTGAGTGAGTGAGTGAGTGAGTGAGTGAGTGAGTGAGTGAGTGAGAGAGTGAGTGAGTGAGTGGTGCCTCCAAAAGGACCTGGTTCTGATCCAGGATCTGTCGGTGCCGCAGTCACTTTAATTGGGGATTTAAAGAAGGCTCTTGTCTTTAGTCTGCACTGAAAATAGATCTTTGACAAGTGTCCAGGTGGGGGGGGGAGAGGGGGGGACGTAGGGAGAACACCACCCTCATTGGACTCATCTCCAGGGAGGGAGGGGGGGCTGGTGTCCTGGTGCAGGGGGGCTGAACGCCCAGAAGACAGTGGAGATGATTGTGGAGGAAGAGCACTGTCCCCCCGCCCCCACCCTCCGTGATGGACTCCCCCATCACCTCTGTGGAGTCCTTCCGTTTCCTGGGAACCTCAAGTGGGGTCGACCATCAGCTCCCTCATCAAGAAGGCCCAGCAGAGGATGTACTTCCTGCGGCAGCTCAGGAAAGCCAAGCTGCCTGCACAGATGTTGGTGCAGTTCTACACGGCCATCATCGAGTCCATCCTCACCTCCTCCATCACCGTGTGGTTCGCTGGAGCCAAAGTCAGGGACAAACAGAGACTACAGCGCATTGTGCGCTCTGCAGAGGAAGTGATCGGCCGCAGCCTTCCATCGCTGCAGGACCTGTACGTCGCCCGAGCTCGAGGCCGGGCTGGTCGTATCACAGCCGACCCCTCTCACCCTGCACATGGACTATTCCAACCACTCCCCTCAAGCAGGAGACTGCGGTCCATCAGGAATAGAACCTCCCGCCACAAGAACAGTTTCTTCCCCTCTGCTGTTGGACTCTTGAACACTTCTTAACCTGTCCCCCCGCCCTTTATAAAGTCACTTTACTGCCCATCATACGTCACTTTACTTCACTGTACTGCTGTCACCTTACATTGTGTGCACCATGTGCACTTGTATATTGTAAATAGTAACTGTAACTCTATTTTAAATTTAAATTTATTCCTTGAAGTGTTTTTTATTCTTTATTTTTTATTATCTCTTTCTGACTGTTGCACTGAGCCAAAGCAATTTCAAAGTCTGTGACTTCTTGTTACTTATGTTGCAATAAAAATGATTCTGATTCTGAACTGCAATATAAGATATCAACGCTAGATTGCACTAAAAATTACACAGTGTACCTTTGAGATTATATATTTTAACACATTGAGTGCATTTCACATCCCATCATACGTAGTTCACAGACATCAGTTGTCTCGGGTCATGGTCTCAGAGCTCATGACATAACATGTTTGTAAAGGGTATTATTGTGTTCGAGAATTAAGCTATGATGTGTAATCACAATGGTTTTCTCAAAAATTATAGTGTTCATCTAAATACGTGACCCAACCAAAAATTTAGTTTAAAAATGGTGGGGTAGATTGCATTTTGTGAGTTTTAACAGTGCACTACACTACACCAAGCACTGATTAAATGTCTGTGCGTGACAAAGCTATAGTTTTCAGCCCATTTTAGTTTTAACTGCAAAACAGCTATTAGGCTACACATTTAGATCTACAGTTAGGCCCGTCACGATTACACATTTTTTGGACAATTAATTGTCTCAGGAATTATTGCGATAAGCGATAATATTGTCGTTCTGAGATCATTTAAACAATGATAATGATGCAGGTACACCTTTTCAAAGAGAAATACACTTTTATTTTTAAAGCCCAACGGCGTAAGTGGCGGAAGTAAAAAGCCAGACGCAAGACTTTATGAAAGAAAAAACGATGTCCAGAATCACTGTAAAGCCAGCTGCTCCTCCTGCTAATGTTTAGATACAAGTGCTGTGTGTGTGTGCAGATGCGATCTAAATCCAAGGGTCACTATAAAAATCAGGTTTCACATGTGTTTTCAACGGGAGACGCGTTGCTGAGCGCACAAAATTAGAAATCCATCCTAAATTAGAGCGCAGCCTCGCATCATACGTCCGTCATACGCGTGTATAACACTAGTAGAGTAAATATCACCATTGGTTAACATGGATAAAAGTTACGCGCGTCTGCTGCACGTATAACGCCTACGTGCTGTAACGCGTCCTGTGTAAATTAACAGTCAGAGTCTTCTGTGCATGTTGCTTTCTGAATGATTTTTCCCTTGCATGTGACAAATAAATGTCATGTTCTCTACACTGCGTTCTGTTTGTCCCCAGGCTTTCTGTCCTGCAGGGTAGATGCAGGGTGTCAGTTCTTCACACATCTTAGCTTCCATGGTCATCTGTGTGTTTCTTGTACCATCATTCTATACTCATGTAGATTCTAGATCATTAAAATACAATCCCTATAAACTGTGTGTAGCACAGAAAAGTTGTACCTTCCATAGTTCCTGAAATCCCCCCAGGAAAAAGAGTGCATTTTAACATGCATTTTTTTCCCAAGATGTGTACACCATGTAGAATAAACAAATGCAAACTTTGAACAGTTACAGAAATGTCCTTCACGTATGTGCTGATGTGTTATGGAACAACGGAAGAAAAGGCCTCATGCCTGTCAGGTTTGCCTTGGTAAACCGAAAAACAAGAAATCAATAGCTTGAGTAACCCAAAGACACTTGTTGTGTTGGTCATATATAGTATGTACTTTTCCATAAATTGTGTTAATAAAGTAAGGACACAAAAATATGTATCGGGCGGCACGGTGGCTGAGTGGATAGCACTCTCAGCAAGAAGATCCTGGGTTCGAATCCCGGTTGGAACAGGGTCTTTGTTTTCCCCGTGCCTGCGTTGGTTTCCTCCGGGTACTCTGGTTTCCCCTACCACTAAAAACATGCTCACTAGGTTAAATTCCTCCAGCTCTGGTCTTGACCAAGCCGAGATGGGTTTCCGGGCGTTGTTTCTACGGCGACCACTGCTCCTGACGTAAGCCTTCACGGTATCAGGATGGATCAAATGCAGAGGATTGAATTGCCCTACGGGGATCAATAAAGTGCACCTTTACCTTTACCCTCGAGTGCATGTCTCAGTGCAGCTTGTTTTGATCAGATTTACATGTGTCTTTTGCAGCAAAATCCACATACAATGCTGTCGAAGCTGGTATCATTAGCCACGTTAGCAGTGTCAGCTCCAAACATATACAGTGTATGACAAGAGAGTCAGCCTATCAGAGCTCAGCTATCTGATGGTATATCCTTCAAAATTTGTGTCGGCACAAAATGGCAGCCAGCTCATTAAATATGCCGACATTTCTAAAATTCATTGTTGCTAAACTAGAGTGTTCCAAAAAAAATCACTCCCCTCAGCATTGACACACATGGAATGTAGATATATACATTTCCATTGAATAATTCTCTTTCCGGGTCCGGCCCCTCTGGCCTGGTGTGGTATTGCAAGCATGCCAGCGCCCGTCATTCTGGACATTTTTGAGTCAGGACCCGCCCCCTCTGGATTGAACCTACGACCTTCAGGCTCAAAAGCTAATGCTTTACCAACTAAACCACTGTCGCCCCATCTGTCTTTCTTTTCATAGAAAGATAGATGGGGCATCTATATCTATCTATCTGTCAGGGAAAGGCTTCTTGCTTTCTTTGTTTCAAAATTGAATTGAAAGTTCAAAAGAGACTTGCTTTCCATTGAAAGCCAGAATATGTGGTGAGTTGTACAATCGTCCGATATAATACTTACCAGATATCCAGGTGATCCAGTTTGAGGTTTGTGATACTGGACACTGCTGCCCTGGTCACAACTGAATGTGATTGGGCATAGTCTATGTACCGCAGCCTCAGTCCTTTTATGTTCTGAGTTTTCTGTAGGTTCTGCAGCAGCATCGTTAGAAGGTTTTGGTTATATATCCCTCTGAAAAGGTTCAGTCTGTACGCTGAGATGTTCTCCAAGCCCCTGAAAATATCCATTGTCCCTGTGTAGTAGGTCTGGTCAAACAGTTTGTAGAACTGTAGTTCGGTAAAAGTCCTGTTCGCCAGATCACTGAGAATGTCTAACAGAGAATTTGGTAAAGTGTCTAACGGCATTGCAATATGCATGTTCTGGGTTTGGACAACTTTCAAACTGCCACGTTCGTAGTATTGTAATTTGGAAGAACACTGTATTGTAAAGACTTTAAGCCTTAGCTTTCTAACGGGTTTAAAGTCTCCTTTTTTGAGCCCGTTCACCAAAAGCCCACCTATCGCTAGCACTTGGAGCTTGGGGAAGTTAGCATAGCTTTCTGGTAGTGTCGCTTGTTCAAACAAATTGTTATTCATCACCAGAGATTGAAGGTTTGAGAGATGACGCAGTGCTTTGTCTGGGATTTGTCGAAGGGAGTTGTCAGAAATGTCCAGGGTCTCAAGTAGGCTGTTGTGCTGGAAGGCATTTTCACCAATGAAAGAGATGTTATTGAAGGATAAAAGAAGATCTCGGAGTTTGGGGAAACGAGAAAAGTCTTTGGAGTGTAGAGAACTGAGACTGTTGTATGAAAGGTCGATGAGTTCCAGAGTGGGTGGAAGGTTCTGGGGAACAGAGGCCAGATGTCTCCCCATGCAGTTTGCGTTGCGGCGCGATTTGTAGATGTAGCAAGGGGGCATAGCCAAGGAAGCCACTTGGGAGGAGGCCACAGCAAAGGAGGCCACTGGGGAGGTCTCAGTGGATGAGACCGCAGTGGAGAAGGTGTTAGTGGATGAGACCGCAGGGGAGGAGGAGGCTACAGAGGAGGCGGTGTCAGTGGAGGTGGCTACAGAGGAGAAGGCTACAGGAGAGGAGGAGGTCACAGTGGAGTAGGTCTCTGTGGAGGAGGCTACAATGAAGTAAGTCTCAATGGATGAGGCCTCAGTTGAGGAGGAGGCCCCAGGGATCAGATATGGGTTTGATCCAGAGAATATAGTACACAGGAGGAGCACCCGCAGCATCTGAGTGGATCTAGAAAGAAACACAAGAAACATTTGTTTTCACTATATTTGCCCTGGTTCAAAGGACAGTAACATTACTTCTTATTTTAACCTGAAATTGTTTTTATACAAAGGCACCGTGAGATCAGCAGAGGAGAAATCCATCTGCTCCAATAGTACGCTGAGGCTGAAGCAGAAGCAGCACTATGTGGACAGTAGTATTTGTATTTATATATTTATATTAGGGCTGTCAAAAGAACTCCTACACAGAACTATGCTCGGATTGTAATGTGTCTGTCTTTGTGTAACCGGTGCACACAAAAAATACAGCACAGAAGCAGGACTACGGAGGACGTGTGTTCTTCCGAAGAGCACTCGCTAAATTAAAGCTGGGGTACCTAATTTTTCCTTCCACTACCAGTTCATGACAGATTTAATGACATTCTGCTTCAGACTGTTTTAAATGTCCTTCATCTGAAACAAACAATAGTTTTGGTCTGAGTCTAAACAGAAAGACAGAATGTTAATAATGTTAATGCCATTTTATATGGATTTGTTGTATAATAAACAAACACAGTATGTTAGAGCTATTTGTCTATTTTTTTATTCTACTTATGATCTACTTTAGTCAGTTATTTTTTCTTAGTTTGCAAAGACAATTTTGGGTTAATTATTGCTTATTTAATTTAATTTAGGTCACGGGGATAAATAGGGCTATGGGGGGAGGGCGCAGCATAGAGGCGTTTTGGGCATAATGTTTTTCACCAGCGAGAGGAGAGGCTGCAGTTCTGCATGTTTGCCATTTTCTTGGAGAATAATTTTCTCTACCCTGCGTAAAGTCAATCTGAAAACCCCTGAGTGGCATTTTGATTTGTTTTGGTTAAAGTTGGACATGGTTTAAGTTATGGACAAATCGCCACCACACAGTACATATGTACACTAAGCTGTCATTTATCTTTCCATTCAAACAACCATTTACAGAAAAATATGGCATAATTTTGCCGATAGTTTGAAATGCTATTATCTATCCATCCATCCATTTTCTACCCTTTAATCCATTTCTGGGTCAGGGGGTGGCAATCAGAGATGCCACCCAAGTCTCATAGCACCAGCCCCTCACTGACCCTCTGCAGGTGGTGAGTCCACAGGAGGACGGCTGCTCTCTGAGTGTGAGCATAGCCTTGATCTTTCAGTGGGGGCTTTGGGCAAAGTGGGGTTAAGTGTCTTGCCCAAGGACACAACGACAGCAGTCATCAGTGGGAGTCGGTGGAGAAGGTGTAGAGGTGGGAATTGAACCCACAACATTCAGGCCTGAAGGCCAATGCTCTACCAACTGAGCTACTGTCGCCCTTAATTAATGCTATTAATTATGAGTAATTAATTTTTAAGCTGTAATTAACTCAATTTTAAAAAATTATCGTTTGACAGCCCTAATTTATATATATAGCATCATGAGCGACATTTAATAATAAAATAATGATGCATCGGTTTTATATAGATCATTTTGGACGCTCAAAGACGCTTCACATGTTATTATTCTTTGACTCCAAACACGGTGGTGATAAACTACTACTGTAGCCACAGCTGCCCTGGGGCACACTGACAGAAAGGAGGCAACCAGTCTGTACCATCGGCCCCTCCCACCACCACTAACCATTCACACACACACCAGACTCATTCTAGGCAATGGGTGTGAAGTGTCTTGCCTAAGGACACAACGGCAGTTTGGCACTTTACAGCCGCAGCCGCCCCACTGTGGCTGGTGTTCCCAGAGGTTAAAGCTGCACTAACTGACTTTATTTTTGTATTCATTACGAAAATGCAATCCATGTCCATGCAGTGCATTGGGATAAACGTCTTTTAAAAGAAAAAGAAGCGCAGGTTTGTACTGGCGTGACATTATATTTTAGATCGAGTTTTTATGAAACAAGGAAGAGAATGCATTTCGGGTCGCAGATTGTGACCAATCACAGCGGACCACTAGCCCCCACTTTCGTGAGAAATCTACAGGTCCGTTAGCATAGACGGCTGAGTTAGCACAACAAGTGGCGGAGCTAACCTGAAACTTCCGCGTCTGCGTCACCGGTTACTGCTTACTCAGCGAAACAGCCAAAAGAAAGTCCCGTTCCTCGGCGCTTCCCGGTTCTATCGTTCTATGGTCACGCCATCCACGCTCACATCCATATCCATGTATTATCCACATTGGGAGACGCTAGCTCCGTCAACAACAGTGGGTGTGTGTGGGGGGGCGATAGCTTCGTGGGTGCGGGGAGGGGAGCAGAAACAGCGAGGCCAGCGAGGCCGCGGCTTCAAAATCCCAAAGTCAGTTAGTGCAGCTTTAAGTGTCTTGCCCAAGGACACAACAACAGCAGGAGTCGATGGTGAAAGTCTTGAGGTGGGCTCGAATCCACAACCTTCTGGCTCAAAGGCCAATGCTCTACCAACTGAGCCACTGTCGCCTTGTTGAGTTTAATTAGTTTGTATTCATATATTTCTATATTATATATATTTTTTGAATGAACATGCAAATTTGTTTTTGTAAATTCTCTTGTTAAAGGGGCACTAACTCACTTTGTGACATTTTAAAATGTGAGCGCTGGCCTCGCTATTTCCGCTCGCCCTCCCCGCACTCACGAAGCTATCGCCCCCCACTACCCCCTGCAATATGGATCGCACATTTTCACGTAGATGGCGTGACCAGAGAATGATAGAACCGGGAAGCGCGTAGGAACGAGACTTTCTTTTGGTTGTTTTGCTGAGTAAGCAGTAACCGGTAACTAAGACACGGGAAGCTTCAGGTTAGCCTCAGCCGCTTGTTTACCTCAGCTGTCTGTGCTAACCACAGACCTGTGGCTTTTCTTAAGAAAGTGGGGGCCAGTGGTCCGCTTTGATTGGTCACAATCTGGTCCAAAGAAACAAATTATCTTCCTTGTTGCACAAAAACTCAATCTAAAATAAAATGACACGCCAGCACAAATCTGCGCTACTTATTCTTCATACTGTATATCCCAATGCACTGCATGGACATGGATTGAATTTTCATAATGAATACAAAAATAAAGTGAGGTTATGCAGCTTTAAGGATTCGTTGAAGCTTCATGGTTTCTGTGAATGCTTCATCAGAAAGAGAAGTGTGTTTGTCCTGAGGTGGCAGGAGTTCCTACTGTGGTCACAAAGACAATCCCAGTTCTGTTTTTATGGGTAACAAATTTGTTACATGGTAAAAATCTGAATGGGTCTGTGTTTACTTTTGAACGCACTGGAAACTGCAGAAACCCTAACCCTGTTATTGTTATCTGTACTCGTTACTGCAGTACAGTGTTCATGGTTTTACACTGATCCAGACCAGAGCAGAGACGATGGTCCCAACCAAACAGATCAAGCAGACTTTCACTTGAGGAATGTTATTTATTTATTTTTTTTCAATGCTAATAAAGCATTTAGAATTTCACTCTGAACCAGAGCAGAGCAAATGTTCCAAACCAAACAGGCTTTTCAAACATCTACCAGAGGAAGCGGCTCATCACCAGCGGCTGCACCACCTGCTGCTGCTGCACTAGTTTACTATTGTTAGTCACTTTTATAATGATTCATTTATTTGCTTGTGTGGATGGAAGTCCCCAGGGCTGGACTTAAACCCAGGGGGGACCGGGGCATCATCATCATCACAGATTTCTGCCTTTTTAAAATCTAGGCTGAAAACGTATTTATTCAGACATTCTCCAAACATTATTTATGGATTTTTGACACAGGTACAAAGTATATCAACAAAGATGCATACAATGTGCAAACCGATTATCTAAGATAAAGAAAGACAATAATACAAATAACCAAGACCCTACTAAAACAATTAATTCAGACTTTCAATACACTGTAATTCAGACAGTAAAGCCACTTTTACACCCGACGATCAACTTTGTAACTGTGTTCATGGGGATTCCCAGACGAACAATGACGTGTTGTTAAAGTAATTATTCCTGTAAGGAACCCATTCTAGAAAAGTAACACAACAGGTCTGGGCTCTTCCACCTCTCACAGAAAGAGAAAGTATTCCTTTTCAGAGAGTGAGTGAGAGAGAGACAGACTATCACAGAATAATGCATTGGTTTTATACAGTGCATTTGTAGACACTCAAAGACGCTTCACATTCATCATACCATCAACCATTCACACACACACCAGTCCCGCTGTGGCACCTGGTAAAGGTATCACGTGTTCTCTTCCAGGTTCTTTTCCATCACCACATTTTAAAACATGATTTGAACTGTATCAAACCTTACACTCACCTCATGATGTGTGTGTTGCTGTCTCTCTGTGTGTGTTTGTGTAGCTGCTTTTGAGGCAGGTGCAGCTCCTCCCTCTCTGTTCATTCACTCGGTTACACCTCTCTCTCTCTCTCTCTCTCTAACAGTGGAGAGATCAGGCGATTTATAATAAAGCTTGTCTAATAATAGATTTTATTTCTTAGGTGCCTTCCTCGACACTCACGGTCCCCTTACATACAAGTAAAGAGTGCATTTTAAAAACAGTTAAAATACAAAGCTAAAAGCAGCATGAACAGAGGATGGTGTGAGTGAGTAGGCTCAAATCAAAAGTATTGTGCATATTTGTTTGAATTTAATACTTGCTATATTTAAATTTCACTTCAGTGTATTTTGGTAAAGCCCTAAATCAGAATCAGAATATTTTTTTTGCCACGTAAGTAACAGGAAGTCACAGAGTTGGAAATTTCTTTGGCTCAGTGCAACAGTCAGAGATAATAAAAAATAAAGAATAAAAAACACTTTTTTTTATAATTAAATTTTTATTAAGAAGAACACAAGATCGGTCAGAAAAATTAAAGAATGTACAAAAATGAGGCTCTCCCTTTTTCCTTTTTAAACCCCCTCTCTTCACTCTCTCCCACCCCCTTCCCTCCCCCCCATCCCCCTACCCTCCCCTTACTGGATAGTTGTTAAGTACCGTAGCATCCAGCCTGCTCTTTTTTAGCAGGGGCCTGATGACTGCAGTTTTCAGGGCCT